CCCCCACCATTGTCCTCCTACTACACTCTCCCCCTCCCCCACCCCTTCCCGCCCTCACTCCTCGCACTCGGTTTAGTCAGTCAAGAGAAGAGTTCTGCTACTCCTAGAAGGCGCGTTTCCACGCGCGCTGCTGTTGCGTGCACTGGCCGTTACGCTTCTTCCTCCACTATCGTAACTTCACCCTTAGTCCCTCTTTCTCCTCCTCTTCCTCCCTCCCCACCGCCCCTTCCGTTACCTTTATCCCACCATCAGCTTGTCCCTACCTCTTCTCTCTCACTCTCGCACTACCCCTCCACGATCTCGCTCTCTCTCCCTCCGTCTCGTTCGCGATCTCCTCACTTCGGAACGCAGCTGCCGCTGGTGGTCGAGAAATTTTCGCGAGTCCTTCCTACCCCCCGTCGCTCGCGACCGTCCCATCCGCCCTTCGATTTCTTCTCGGATCCCCTATTTCCACTTTTTCCTTCGCGATCGGTTCTCCACCTCCTCCGCCCCCTCCTCCGCCTCTTCCTCCTCCTCCTCCACCTCGTCCACCTCCGACACCGCGAAGATTCTAAAAAGGTAGGTGGTAGTGGTGCTCTCTCGTTGCCCGAGAAAAGGAGAAAGAGAAAGCGGAAACGCGGGGTGTAGGAGTGCGAGGAAGAGCTGCGTGTGTGCGCGTTAGACCTCTGCCGGCGTACTCCTCTCGAGACTTCCATGATCTTCGGAGATCGACCAGTGCGCCGCATTCGGGAAAGGGTGTCGAAGGGTAGTTGCAGGCGAGCTCGGAGATCTTGGTCGCGTCGCCGATAGTTATCGTCTGGTCGGTGGTGCAACGTGGCTGCTGGTATCGAGTTAAGAGTGTTTTCGAAGCGAGAGTTAGGAAGGACGGTGGAAAAGGTGTGAGTGTTCTCTGGTTGTTCAGTGTCGTCGTCGTCGTCGTCGTCGTCGTCGTCGTTGTCCTGGAGATATATATCTACTGGAGTTACAGATATATCGTATCAAGATGTTGCTGTACAACGCGAACTGTATTTCGTGAACGTCGTCCTCGACGACGACCACCACGATCAACACGCGACCTGTTACGTTGCACGTGTTGCTTGGACAGAAGCGGGACCGATCGATGAGAATCGCGGAGGGCTTTTGAAAATTCGTCCAGTGCGGAAGGTTGTCGTAACGCGCGCGCGTGTACCACCGTGCGTTACGTAATCTAGATCGGACGGATTAATCGCGCGTAATCCCCGCTCGGATCGTTCCGTGCGCGTCGAGCACGGAGCCGGACGTATAATGAAGCGATGCCCGTTTCCATCGGAGATTCGACCTTTCGAATCGATGCTCGTCGCGATACCGTTCCGCGAGGTGTTCGCACGTCGCGATTAAGAAGGGTGAGGATGCAGATTGGACGCGGCGGCGGCGGCGGCATCCTCGCGAGGACTACGGACGACCACGCGACGAGACAGGAGATCGTTGGGGACGAAAGGACCGACGTGTAGAGTACGTATAGACGCTACCCTGCATCCAGACTCGACGAGATTCTGCCTACCACGTGTACCTACCAGCCGAGGGAGCGTCTGTTGACACTCTCGCGAACAGCATCTGCTGACCTAGGATCGAGACGAACGAATATTTTGCGGAATTAACGTGGGTAGGCCTAGGAAATTGGTAGACGTCGACCAGAGGATAACGAGGAAGTTGGGAAAATTTGTATCCGGTCGAATTGAAAATTCTTCAACGTTAAGAAAAGTACCTTCGTTTCCCACCACTGGCCACCCGGCTATACCCTATCGCGCAGGATAAACGAATACTTGGCAGGGCACACTTTTCCGCTTGCCTATTCCGTTCTTTCTCTCTCCCATTGTGCATCCACACCCCCCGTTCCTCGAAAACGCTCGCCTCTAAGGCGCTGAGGGAGGAAAAGGACCGCGAGGGGTGGGCAGGAAAGGAGGAGTGTTCGGGTGGGTACAGTTACTGCTGATCGTTAAAAGGCGCA